AACGACTTTTTTTCCCGAATTCAATACGCCTGTTACTATGAGCGATTTAGTAGGGAATTCCCCGGGTCCGAGTGTTAATCAACAATTTAGTTCCAATCCGGGGAATTATTTGATAGAATCAAGTTACCAGCAGGCGGTTGAAATGACTGGTAAAAGTAACAACGAAATTCAGTTGGAAATTTTGAAAAGAGTCAGGGAAGAAAAATTGAGAACGCAAAGAAATGCTAGTGCTGATTTCCAACATATTGGATACAAGGTGATAATTTATTTGTTATTTCCTTTTTTTCGATTTTATTACTTTTTCCTTAGTGCAACTATTGTAATTCCGAACCAATACTAGGCAGTAGATGGCATTGCGCAGTGTGTCCGGAATCTGTTGATTTCTGTACAGATTGCGTGGTTTCTCAAATGTACATCACAAACAATCATCCTGTAACTCATCCAATGGTAATTTTGCAAGATGACGAACAACACAGTGTTTTTTATTCTAAATCCACGTCAATTAAAGATGAAGAAGAAGATGAAGACGAAGAAGACTCTGGTGACAGTTACGGATTCGAAGATATGGAGAAAGAAGATGAAGATCGTTTGGATACAGACGAAGAAAGTAGTAGTAATTTTGATGGTAATATAAATTAAATTATATAAGAATATTTCATAAAATATATGTTACTTTAATAATAAAAACGAGTTTTACTTGTTATTACACCTCGACATAAATTTCCATCCTCCATCCATACATTAAGTTTTATCAAGCGTGTTTTTCCTGGGACATCGACAACGCCTACTATTTTTAGCTGTGTCACAAAAAGAAGGGTTGTCTTCCAATCAGCTGGGCGAAGAGAGTAATAAGTGAACCAGTATAATTTTCTAGACAATTTTTCAGATTATTATAGTAAAATTAAATGTATTTTTAATTCATCGGGACGGTGGTGTAGCGGTCTATCGCGCTTATATTCATTTATAGGCAAGTTTATGAGTCTGAGACTGCTGGGTTTCGAATCCCAGACCGGACCATGTGGATTTTTAATTAGGTTTAGGATTTGATGTGTGGCGTATTAATAGAAATTCAATTTCTGTTGATATGACTGCATATTAAAAAAATTCGCCATACATTACCGTCTCGATGATGGTGGGTGAGGTTTTCCTCACCTGTAAGTCAAATGGCACCATCAATCATCTTTAAGTCGCCCCGGAGCGCCACGGCAAATATTAATAATAGCCGTCCCTTCCTCTACACAAGTCGTTCAGTCGACTTCAGGGGTTGAAATTCACTCGTAAGGGGGTGAATTAGGGAGAGTATTATTATTATTATTATTATATAATTAATTTTGAATATTTCATCCCACAATTTTATATGCAACGCTATGATTTTTTTCATCGTACATGACAGTATTTTTCTCGCTTAGATCTGTCAACAAATGACAGACTTATGACTGTTGCATAACATCGCCGAACTCGACCCCAATCTCCCGTTAGCTCCCCCATATTTACGCCTATGGCGCTTTGATACTTAAATATCCCTTTCAAAGTTCTATTTGACGACAAAAATTAATATTTCATCTCTTACTCATTGAGTTCCCTATGTGAGTCAGTATCGGCATAGTGCATCTACTAACAGCAAGGTATTTTTTTGTTTTTGTTATTACAAACGAAAAGCATATTTTTATTCATTTTTTTAATAATTATTATTAATTTTGATTGTTTTAATAATTTTTATCATTTTTTAACAATTTTTACTTATTTTTATTGATATTTATTTATTTTTACGATGCTCCCCATTTTCCCCCTCTCCTTAAAATGTGAAAAAACCTTGAAGGACGTCATTATTTATTTACTACAATAACAATTTTTAAAAAACTCTGAAACGTGTCTATTATAAGATTAAAAAATCTTTCACTTCCCTCCCTTTCCCCCCTAAAATATGAAAATCTATTATTTATTTACATTTCCAAGTTCCTACCTTTAAAAAATCAATCAATACTTCCATACAAACTTTCACCCCCCCCTCCTCCCCGTTTATAAGTTATTATATGATGACAATTGTATCCAATAATAATATCAACATCTTCTGGAATCACACCACTATTTGGAACGTCCTCTAACGTAATAGTCGGCAAAATTACTAACAAATACCAATATTGTAAACAACTTGAATACCAAGTCTCACAAAAGCACGTGCATCAGCTGGCCTAATCATTTCTTTTAATGTTTTTACTGTTAAATTATTGACATGTAAATGAATTGTACTTATTAACAGTATTTTAAAGATTTGAAATGAAACACACCAACACTGCTCTTATGACTGTATTTAACGTTTTAAAATTTCATGAGAAAACAATTTAAAGACAGAAAATTCTGATCAGATGTCAAAACCACTTCTCTATTTAAGTTACAGAGAAAATGCACTGCACAAAATTTTCTTTTTGTGGTTTTAAAATCTGACCGTCCACATTAATAATTGGTAAAACTTTTTCAGGTACATTAAGCAAAAATACATACAGAAAAAATGTAAAATTAAGCTAAAAATGAATTATAAAATATAAATTTGTAAATATCTACAAAATTCCTGTTCGGGATATCAAGCAATACGTCTGATGTCATGGTACAATTGATTCATTCAAGTCTTAAAAATCCACAGTAATTTTTGTTTCTGAAATAGCTCGTTTGTTATTTAACATTTAACTTTTTTCAGGTGGTACGACTTGAAAAAGTATCTGAACATAGTAGGTGATTGTTTCTGAAAAACAAAAATTATTTAAACATGAATACTGTTAATTTATCTATAATTATCACACCTGCGTCCGATATACGGACGCAACTTTGCAGAGAACGCGATATTGACAGGTTTCTGGCTTAAAACAAAATATTTTAATTCATTTAGACTTACTCATAAAAGAAGTTGGTCGTTTGCGTTTATAAATGCACCAATAATAAATCAACACTCCTAACATCATAAATCCAAGGGCTAGCAAATATTTCGGTGTTGGATCCAAAACGATTGGAGTGATGCTTAAATATAAAGCAACTAGCAAAATAAATATCGGTATAAATAGTGGCACCTAGAATAAAAAAAACGCGAGTCAAAGATTTTACAGTGTTGATTTTATGATAAAGAAACAAAAATGGTGCTAATTTGAAAATTTACAGTAAGCGATATCTTAAGAATAAAAAAGTTGTTCCAATATAACTGTTTTTTCTATTTAAATCAGAACAATAGTGTTCAGGTCGTAGAAAAATTTTTATATGTAACGCCTATGCTTTTTTCATCGTATATGACAGTATTTTTCTCGCTTAGATCTGTCAACAAATGACAGACTTATGACTGTTGCATAACATCGCCGAACTCGACCCCAATCTCCCGTTAGTTCCCCCATATTTACGCCTATGGCTCTTTAATTCTTAAATATCTCTTTCAAAGTTCTATTTGACGACAAAAATTAACATTTCATCTCTTACTCATTGAATTTTCTATTTGAGTCAGTACTGGCATAGCACATCTACTAATAGCAAGATAATATTTTTTTGTTTTTGTTATTACAAACGGAAAGCATTTACCTTGTAAGGTCTTTTAATGTCTTTCATGGTCTTCCTCATCACTATTAAAGAAACCATAGCAACACCGTAAAAAAACCATATCAGAAAACTAGCAAATTCAATTAGTTCCAGTATTTCTCCAGTAGAAATAAATAAGAATGATATAGCACCTTGGAGTAAAACAGCAGGCGCTGGTGTCATTTTTTTATAATGTACAAATGATAAGCTTTCCAACATAAATCCATCTTGTCCAGAAACATAACATAACCTAAAAAATGTAATTAAATGCTTTTAATAGTAGACGATAAAGGATATTTTATAAATATCAGTAGCAACGTACTGGTCAGGTGAAGCAAAACCCTCACAATACAAATGCATGGCTTTGGAATAGAATATAAAACAAATGGCTGCAGTATTATATTTAATATTTTTATACACTTATTTTTGGTAACTCGATCTATGTCAGCTCAACCCGAGATGAGAATAACTGGACTCGGTGGAATTCCCTGTGTCTTCACAATGGTCTATGGCGCCGGAAGTGTGTATATATATATATATATATATATATATATATATATATATATGCAAAATGCCTTATACACCTCCAAAATATATATGTTTTCAAAGAATACGCCTCAAAAATCGGAGGCGACTTCGAAAAATCGGAGGCCAAATCGAATGTATGTGTATAACAGGTTCATTTATGTTTTTACAACAATGGGAGGTGTTTGCCAAATTTTTTGTCGGAGGTCATTTCGTGACATACACATATACAGTTACACAATGAACTTGGCCGATTTTCCACTACGCGGCGCCACCCTTTAATACACATATATAGGCACATACTTGGGCAATACGAATTAGCCTTTAAGTAGTCTTCACGCCAATGTACCTCCTAAATTTGGCAACAATGAACGGAGGTGTGTTGGTGAGGTGCACTTTTATATACATAATATTTCATAGGAGGTGTGTTGGTGCGATGCACTTTTATATACCTAATATTTCATTTACTATTATTCCTACCGGCAATTTTTATTTTTGGACCTTTCGCGACATCATATATAATTATTGCATACAGTGTGTCCACGGATGGACTTAACTATACTTATAAAAATGTTTATTTAAAATAAAAAAAAGTGATTTTTCATAATTTCTTTTGCTTGTTAAATAAATATGATACACGTTAAGAAACTTTGAGTTTTTGTACAGGGTGTACAATAAAAATACAATTTTGGATTTCCAAAATGAAAATTTTGTTAATACAGTTTTTTTGAACCGCTCAAATTAAGAGCTTTTAAGGAGAACTCAAATAGCCAAATATTATTAAATATCATCCAAGTCCATCCTTGGACACAATATATATTTATTGGCCCCTTTCAAAGCTATATAACTTTTAAACTAGTTAAGATAACTAAATGCAGTTTTCACTAGTCGTCTTTTTTTCTGAGTATGTCTTTTTTTTTTGCTCACTTTTTGTTAAACCGAAAATGTCGTAGACCTAGTATTTTCAAATGGAAGACCCTGTGGATTTTTATATATTTAGAATCATTCTTCTTTTTACTTTTTAAAAATGTAGATGCTGTAATAGTTTAAAAAAATTGAAACAAAAAAACTAAAAATTACACTTTGAACAATAATTGAAATAGTTATAAATCCTCTCGAAAATTATTAAATTTTTAAGAGGGCCTAATAAATAATGACGGAATATCAATAAAAATAAAATACTTGTTTACAAAACATATTTATTTAAAAAAGGTACAAACATTAAAAGCTCAAATTAAAAAAGTACATACAAATTTAATGGATTGGTCCCACCTAAGAAACAGAGCTTGGAAATATTGGGTAATACCCTAATATTACGATTTTCGCTTGAGTTGGAACGGTATAATAGGTTTTATAGTAACCGGTAAATGAAGGGGGAAAATTTTATGGCGTGAAAAGATCTGACATAGCCAGTTCCGTTTTCAAATTATTTATTAAAAACTAAAATTCTGGTTTTATTTATTGACTTGCCGAAAAATGGTACTTTTTTATACTTTAAAACTAGCTATTCAAATCGATTACACAAAATTTTCTCTATTTGAAACCAAGATTTTCTAAGTTTTTAAGTATAATGTATATCGGGAGTCCATAGCATTGGGCTGGTAATAATGATTTTAATTAATTAAAAGTTGAAATTTAAGTAATTAGTAATTACAGGTCAGTAATTAGTTTTTTATGTACTGATTATGTAATTTTTTAAACACAGGTAAAGTGCTTTATTGGTTACATTTCTATATACAAAATAGAATATTTGAGGATCCTATTTGAAATAATCGATGGCGAAACGAAAAATAGTATTTAAAACATTTTTCGGTATGTCAATAAATAAAATCGCAAAAGCTGAAAAACGAAAATAAAAATTTTTATTGTTCCTTAACAACATAAAAAGGTTTCTGTTTGAGGGATATTGTTCCCCTTAATAGGTAACATTTATCACATCTGACCGAATTTGTATATCAAACCATTTACGAAATCCCCATCCATTGCATCTTTATGAGGCACATCATTTAAAAAGAATTAAAACAATAATAATTAAAATGAAACGAAATTCAAAAATTCTTATAAAAGCACATAAATTATTTATTTATTTTTGTAAATATTGTAAACAAATGTTTTTACTCTAACCCAATCTTTGTTTCCAAGAATATCTGGATGGTTTTTGATTAAATTTAGACATTCATCCTTTTTAGGGGCCTTTTTTAATGTAATATTATTTTTGAAATGGGTTTTCACCAGTTGCGCTTGTTCGGATGTCCAACGAGTCCTTCCTTGAATATTTATCTTCGTTTTAATACTCTCGGTGTTATCTGCAATTAAAATTACTTTTAATAACGGCTGCTTTAACAGGTAGACACTTCATAGTTTGAACATACAAGGTGCGGAACATAAAACTAGAACATTACGATACTGATGGAAATGTGAAAATTTGAAGATAAAGGTGAATTATTTAGTGACTATATTTTACACAAAAATTTCCTTTATTCCCTTTCTACTCATATCTCTAACTTGTTTTTTGTTGTTATTTTGTGTTGTATTATAATATTATTTTGTCACTGTTGGAGAAAAATTAAAACTATCCCGTTAGAAAAGTTTAAATTCCGTAAATCTCAATTGCCATATTTCACGTCCAATTGATTCAGGATAACTCGCTTGCTAAGATTTATGTATAGTTTGTATAGAAAAGTCCAGAAAGTTACCTTGAACAGGTAGTAAAATTGGTATATTATCTATGGGTTGTTCGTCATCGTCTGAGTCAACTTCAGGATATTCTTCTGCAGGGTTAATATCTATCTCGTTCAAAGACTTTCCTTTATACATAGCAACTCCCTTTTCCATAAGTAACAATAACTTTGACACCTTTGCGGTTTGATATAAATCCTGGGGCAACCTATAATAAATAAAGTAGGAAAGGATTAAAGTTTAATATTAATAAACTTTAAATAATGATTACTTCCCGAAGATATTTTAACAAATTCTATAATTAAAAACTCGTATGTTAGGCTATTAATTATGTCCTAAAAACTTGGCAATAAAGAAACATCACCTTTGCGAGTTTTTATTACATGAATCATTCTAATGGTCATTAAAAATAAAAAACCGAGGAGTGCTATTGAATTAAAGGGTGGAAATTGGAAATAGGTGTTAAAATGCAACTCATACAGTTTTTAAATATATCTCGAAAACGAAGAAAAATTCAGGTATTGTTATGATTTTCTTGTAGAGAATGCAATTTCTTTTCCCCTAAACCACAGGTATTGGTACCGTTTAGCGATTTAGTGCAAAATAAATGATTATAAATTAATACTTTTTTTATCTAAAGAGCGCAAAACTTTTTTACTCAAATAACATTAACTAACTTACCTTCGTCAGCGAAATTTACACGGGCTAACTCAACGAGTCTGAGAGACCTAAAAATAATAGATTATAAGTGGATTGTAAAATTCTAAATAATTTTTTTACCAACCTATCCATTGCTCTGATACACTTTACATGTACAACACACAACTCATAGATCCGGAGCCCAATACAATGATACCTCTTAGTGATTACCATAGGTATATATAATCAGGAAACGAATCGACCCCCACTACCAACTGCACGTTACCTGAAATATGGCAACGGTGCTGGAGGCGTAAAGGGCAACTTCTCTTGCAAAATTTTATACAAAAGAGGCGGATCACTTAAATAATTTGTGGAGGCGTGTTACATTTATAAATATGCTCAAAATTTGTATATTTTCAAGTACTTTGTTTTTTACCCCTCAAGGGCTCCATCTATAAAAATATAGTTTTTAATTCTATTGGAATCAAATACACTCATTTGGTTTTAGTATTTAACATGGAGGCTTGGGTGCCTGTATTACGTATGGAGGCGAATAAGATAGCTGTGCATGTATATATATATATATATATATATATATATATATATATATATATATATATATATATATATATATATATTGATATGGTATTAAAACACCCTGTATTTTAATATACTAATAATAATTATATTAATAATTAAATAATAATAGTAATAATTAAAAATAATGAAAAGTTTTTGATAACCCTGTATCATAAAAATAATGTAAGAAGTCTTAAGAGAAGCAGACTAAGATATAAAAAAATGGTTTCTAGATAAAAAAGGTTGTAAAAGAAAAAAAGTCAGTTTGAAGTTAATCAATTTTGAATTTTTGAGAAAAATGTCAAGGAAAATTTAGGAATATAATTATAAATATAAACTAAATAAACTAAATAAACTAAATAAACTAAATAAACTAAATAAACTAAATAAACTAAATAAACTAAATAAACTAAATAAACTAAATAAACTAAATAAACTAAATAAACTAAATAAACTAAATAAACTAAATAAACTAAATAAACTAAATAAACTAAATAAACTAAATAAACTAAATAAACTAAATAAACTAAATAAACTAAATAAACTAAATAAACTAAATAAACTAAATAAACTAAATAAACTAAATAAACTAAATAAACTAAATAAACTAAATAAACTAAATAAACTAAATAAACTAAATAAACTAAATAAACTAAATAAACTAAATAAACTAAATAAATAAACTAAATAAACTAAATAAACTAAATAAACTAAATAAACTAAATAAACTAAATAAACTAAATAAACTAAATAAACTAAATAAACTAAATAAACTAAATAAACTAAATAAACTAAATAAACTAAATAAACTAAATAAACTAAATAAACTAAATAAACTAAATAAACTAAATAAACTAAATAAACTAAATAAACTAAATAAACTAAATAAACTAAATAAACTAAATAAACTAAATAAACTAAATAAACTAAATAAACTAAATAAACTAAATAAACTAAATAAACTAAATAAACTAAATAAACTAAATAAACTAAATAAACTAAATAAACTAAATAAACTAAATAAACTAAATAAACTAAATAAACTAAATAAACTAAATAAACTAAATAAACTAAATAAACTAAATAAACTAAATAAACTAAATAAACTAAATAAACTAAATAAACTAAATAAACTAAATAAACTAAATAAACTAAATAAACTAAATAAACTAAATAAACTAAATAAACTAAATAAACTAAATAAACTAAATAAACTAAATAAACTAAATAAACTAAATAAACTAAATAAACTAAATAAACTAAATAAACTAAATAAACTAAATAAACTAAATAAACTAAATAAACTAAATAAACTAAATAAACTAAATAAACTAAATAAACTAAATAAACTAAATAAACTAAATAAACTAAATAAACTAAATAAACTAAATAAACTAAATAAACTAAATAAACTAAATAAACTAAATAAACTAAATAAACTAAATAAACTAAATAAACTAAATAAACTAAATAAACTAAATAAACTAAATAAACTAAATAAACTAAATAAACTAAATAAACTAAATAAACTAAATAAACTAAATAAACTAAATAAACTAAATAAACTAAATAAACTAAATAAACTAAATAAACTAAATAAACTAAATAAACTAAATAAACTAAATAAACTAAATAAACTAAATAAACTAAATAAACTAAATAAACTAAATAAACTAAATAAACTAAATAAACTAAATAAACTAAATAAACTAAATAAACTAAATAAACTAAATAAACTAAATAAACTAAATAAACTAAATAAAGTAAATAAACTAAATTAAATAAACTAAATAAACTAAATAAACTAAATAAACTAAATAAACTAAATAAACTAAATAAACTAAATAAACTAAATAAACTAAATAAACTAAATAAACTAAATAAACTAAATAAACTAAATAAACTAAATAAACTAAATAAACTAAATAAACTAAATAAACTAAATAAACTAAATAAACTAAATAAACTAAATAAACTAAATAAACTAAATAAACTAAATAAACTAAATAAACTAAATAAACTAAATAAACTAAATAAACTAAATAAACTAAATAAACTAAATAAACTAAATAAACTAAATAAACTAAATAAACTAAATAAACTAAATAAACTAAATAAACTAAATAAACTAAATAAACTAAATAAACTAAATAAACTAAATAAACTAAATAAACTAAATAAACTAAATAAACTAAATAAACTAAATAAACTAAATAAACTAAATAAACTAAAATAAACTAAATTTAATTAAATATAAAATAAAAATAAAGTTTATGAAATATAATACTTCTTGAACCGACACCACTCAAAGAAAGAGAATCTGCTCCATATAAAATAAAGTGCTAAAATATATTAAAAAAGAAAGCTAGCCGAGGTAAGTTTAGGTTATCGAGTATTTATAAATTTTAAGGTTAATTAGAGAACATTACAATATATATATATATATATATATATATATATATATATATATATATATATATATATATATATATATATATATATATATATATTTATTATGGATTATAGCAGTTCGCACTTACCGTGTTACACCGAACTGCAAGCTGAGGGCGCAGCCGAAAGTGCTTAGAGCGACACCTATAGGAATAATTATGGAAAACGGCCCCAAAATTCTGTCTCCAAAGGTGACCGCAACAGCTGGAGCACTAATCATTTCGCTATACGTCAAAACTGTCATATAAGAAACATTCATTAAAATGTATAAAATTGTTACTAAAGGCACAGCAATAAAAATGCTTCTTGGAATATTGCTGGAAAAAAAAGATAGAATAAAATGTTTTTGTCAATGCTCTAATAATTAAATGATCGAATTTCCCCCCTTCTCCACTTACTTACACTTCAGGATTTTTCAGTTCTTCTGTTATAACGGTTACCGATGACCTTGAAAGTAAAAAAAATGATTTTAATCCAAAGTTTGTGCAAATATTCTCTTTACAAATACCAGAAACAAGAAGAATGAGTATCAATTTGTCCTTTGATAACCTTCTTTGAGTTAAAATACATAAATGATATGCCCTTACCAACCATCATATGCCCACAAACCACTGTAAAAGGCCATAGCGAAATCTCTAGGCGATGTAGTTGTATCTTCAAATCCTCTTGATAAATTTTTAGTATTACCAGCGGCTATTTGATAAATTCCTCCACATATCACAATGAGACATGCCACAACTTTGCATGAGCCAAAAATATTTTGTACTTTAATGTACAATTTCACACTGCTCACATTTATATATGTTGTGATTCCTTAAAACAAAAAAAAACATTTTGACGTCCGTATATATATATATATATATATATATATATATATATAGTGGAAGGGTAGTCTTTGCTGAATAGTAATGTAAAATTCAAACTAATTTATTGGGGGCAGCAGCAATATATAATAAAGAAAACTCTTTAAAGATGATCCAAGCTTTCGGAAATTTTAATAACTTATTTCCATCTTCAGGGAATCTACAAAAGGTGTGGTGTGTCTTCATAGGAACATAATATTATTAAGAGAGTGAGTTACTTACATCTTTGTGAGGATGAATTATTAATGATGTTAAATGTTATGATTTTGATGCACATATAGAATTAAAATTACACAGTTTTACAATATAACTTAAAATTATTGTGGTTTAAATTCAGTTTGAAATTTAACTGTTATGTCAATTTTTGTGTCATTCGTTGTTTATGTATACAAGTGTGTTAGATTAAATATAGAAATTACTAATAAGGAACCTAGTTAGGAAGATTACTTTGTACTTAAATTATTATTTAATAAAGTTTTATCTGAGAATGCAGTTTGATTAATTATTTCATCATCAACAAAACTGTCACTAATTGTTGTGATGAATGAAAGGATGTTGTAAATTATTTCATCAAAAACAATACTGTCACCATTGTTATGATGAAAGGTTGAATATTAAAAGTTTTTTAATCAGACTTGTATCATAAAAGGTGGTCATTTAAAAAATTAGATTTCATCTGCAATAATACTGTCGCTATTATTGTGATGAAGGGTTGTATTGGTGTTGAGTAAGTATGAGTAAATAGCACTTAGATGTTTTATGTCCGTTTCTTCTTTTGTCACCAACATCCTAACAGCGGCATATAACTTTGACAATGAATATTACATAAAGGACTCTTTTCAGGTATCTGAACTATACAACAATAAAACACTTCCTCAAAATTATGTACTAGCTAGCCTAGATGTAGTGTCCCTTTTCAGTAATGTTCATGTAGATATAACCACTAGGGCTATTGATTATAACTGGGATATGATAAAAAATCATTGCAAATTGAACAAAGATAGTTTCTTGAAACTCATTAAATTTCTATACAATAACACATATTTTGCATTTAACAATAAAATATTCAAACAAACTTTTGGTTGCCCAATGGGACAAAGTTTATCTCCTATATTAGCAACTTATGTTATGGATTACATACTAGATCATGTTCTACCAGTCCTTTCATTTAATGTATTCTTTATTAAAAAATATGTTGATGATATTATATTGGCACTGCCATATAACGGCATTGATGAAATCCTTTTCACATTTAATAGTTATGATCCTTACATACAGTTCACTATAGAGAATGAAGATCAAAACCAGTCAGTACCTTTCCTTGATACTCGGTTCATCAGAACAAATGACAACAATATCCTAATAGACTGGTACAGAAAACCTTGTCAGTCAGGACGTTACCTACATTTCAATTCATATCACAATTACCAAATGAAAGTCAACTTGATAAAACAAATGAAAAACAGAATAATCAAAATTTCTGACAAAAGCTTTCACAATAAAAACCTCAACATCCTTAAAAACCTCTTCTTAGATAATGCCTATCCACTACGTTTAATAAATAATACACTTTTCAATCTATCGTCTACCCTGACACATGATGCTCAATTAAGTGATCAACTGAATAATATTAATAATAATAATAATAATAATAATAATAATAATAATAATAATAATAATAATAATATTTCTAACAATTTCAACAACGTTAATAATAATGAAATCACTACTATAGCAAAACACATAAGTTTACCTTACATAAGAGATATTACACCAAAAATAACTAGAATATTAAAATCACTATTAAATGTAAAAATAGCTAATAAAACAGTACTAACTATAAACTCTATTTACACCAAAGTAAAAGACAAAACACCATTAAAAAGCTTATGTAATGTTGTTTATCAAATTCCTTGCAAAGATTGTGATAAAGTATACATTGGTGAAACATCTAGATCACTAGGTAACAGAATAATCTCTCACAGAAGTGACGCACGGTTACACCCTGAAAGGTGCTCTTTAGCTGAACATGTTAACAGTTTAGACCACATAATGGACTATGATGCATCTAAGATTCTTGACACAGAATCCAATTATACCAAAAGACTCTTCTTAGAAATGGCTTGGATATACCAAAATCAAAATTGTATTAATAAAAGGACGGACATAAAACATCTAAGTGCTATTTACTCATACTTACTCAACACCAATACAACCCTTCATCACAATAATAGTGACAGTATTATTGCAGATGAAATCTAATTTTTTAAATGACCACCTTTTATGATACAAGTCTGATTAAAAAACTTTTAATATTCAACCTTTCATCATAACAATGGTGACAGTATTGTTTTTGATGAAATAATTTACAACATCCTTTCATTCATCACAACAATTAGTGACAGTTTTGTTGATGATGAAATAATTAATCAAACTGCATTCTCAGATAAAACTTTATTAAATAATAATTTAAGTACAAAGTAATCTTCCTAACTAGGTTCCTTATTAGTATTTTCTATATTTAATCTAACACACTTGTATACATAAACAACGAATGACACAAAAATTGACATAACAGTTAAATTTCAAACTGAATTTAAACCACAATAATTTTAAGTTATATTGTAAAACTGTGTAATTTTAATTCTATATGTGCATCAAAATCATAACATTTAACATCATTAATAATTCATTCTCACAAAGATGTAAGTAACTCACTCTCTTAATAATATTATGTTCCTATGAAGACACACCACACCTTTTGTAGATTCCCTGAAGATGGAAATAAGTTATTAAAATTTCCGAAAGCTTGGATCATCTTTAAAGAGTTTTCTTTATTATATATTGCTGCTGCCCCCAATAAATTAGTTTGAATTTTATATATATATATATATATATATATATATATATATATATATATATATATATATATATATATATATATATATATATATATATATATATATATAAATGAGTTTGTGCTTACCTAAGGCAATAAGGGCAACAATTTTAATCACATTTTCTTTGACATCCGGATTGTTTTGAACGCACAAGGCATCGAGAATTGGTTCGCAGAAATATTGCGAAAAAGTTAACGTCAGAACGGCAATTTCGGCGGGTCTTATGACCATAATCATGATCCAAGAGTATATGAACGCCGGAAGATGTCCCCAAAATTTGTGTAGAGGTCCAAACGAATCGATGAAATATGCATATTCGGATCCAGAACGAGGCACCAACGTTCCTAGTTCTGAATACGCCAATGCTCCTGAAAAATAACATTCACATAGCCTTTTAAGAGGAAGCAAAATATATATATGCGTCCTTTTAAAAGGCACTCACCTAATAACGATATCACTCCACATGATGCCCAAACGACTATACACATTCCAACCGAACCGGAGTATTTTAGAGCGGATGCTGGAGATACGAATATCCCAGATCCAATCATAACCGCTAAAATGAAATTAACGGCCGAGAACAATCCCAGTTCTCGTTTGAGTTGAATTTTTCCATTTTGGTCTGAAATTTTGGAACCTGAAACAATTTAAAGCATGACACTTCCCGTCAGGGCAACGCTAAACGATCTGCGGCACTACAACGCATGCCCATTACATCGAAAATGACACTGAAACGATTTAAAGCATAACGATGCTGCCTACCTAAGCTCTGCGATGTTTAGCGGCACTAAAACGCATGCGCATTACGGGGTTTTTGGAATTATCAGCATTGGATCACCTCGTCTGTCCATAACATAACAATTTCTCTATAGTTCTGAGATTTTTCATCAAATAATTTGGACAAATTGCTTGAAATGATAACAATTAAATGTCACAATACATAACCTTTAAAAATATTATTTAATATACGCTGTATTATTAGGAATGGCGTAATTTGCGTGACAAACAAAGCGTTTATATAGTTTTTGAAGTAGATAACATTTTAGTAATAGATTTTATTAGATAGTAAATAAAATTGAGGTTAGGTAATCATTAACATTTTATTTCTATTACTTTCAAGATATTTACAATAAAATTAAATTGGTTACATACCTTTAAACTACTTTTTTTGCGACACGCTATCAAGATGAAACAATAAATGATATATAAACTCTAGATCAATTTAATGATCTCAAAAGTGAAGCCATAACTCCAACAAAACATGTAATAACCTACGTTAAATGTATAATAAGGCTCATCCGTATACTTTTTATAATTTATGGTTTCATAGGAAGTGTTTATATAATTTAACCTAGACTTTATTTAATTAATCTTTTTCATACCGATGCTGTTTAGTTTTTGGAAGGAGACAGCATAAAAATTAGATAAAAATAAACAAATAATTTATTTAGTCATCAATATTTACGCACAACACAGTGAAGTTATCTATAATCATGTGCACAATAAGTTGGGTTTGTGTTCATCTGCCAAACAAAGCTGAAATCAGCTAAATGTAGCAACCAGTAGTGACCTGTCCAAGCACAAAATAGCGGGTACAATGTTTGTTTCATTGATCTATTGATCTCTCTTTTTAAGTACAGGCATTTGCGAAAACCTCTCATGTTCAATCAGCGTATCCTACTAATTTATAAATATGAAAGTTTGCATGTATGGATAGATAGATGGATATTTGTTGCTCAATCACGTCAGGACGGATCTGGATGAAATTTGGCAAAGAAATAGACTATAGTCTGGAATGTACGGTACCCGTGGGATAGATTTGTTTTTGTTTTTCATAAAGCATGGGATCAGACATGATTTTTACTGTCTGAAACTTTTTTTTTTTACAAAAAACGTATTTTCGCCGGTATTTAATTGTAAAACTTTAATTTAAACACCCGGTATATATAGATTAAACACCAACTAGACGTACAATCTGGTCGGACGGTGGATTGCAATTCAAATGATGTATTTTTTTCATAGGTAAATACACCTATGGTTAGGTTAGATAGACATTTAGATCTATCTAACCTAACCATAGGTAAATACACCTATGGTTAGGTTAGATAGACATTTAGATCTATCTAACCTAACCATAGGTAAATACATTTAGATCTATCTAACCTATGGTTAGGTTAGATAGACATTTAGATCTATCTAACCTAACCATAGGTAAATACACCTATGGTTAGGTAAATACCTAACCATAGGTAAATACATTTAGATGTATCTAACCTAACCATAGGTAAATACACCTATGGTTAGGTTAGATAGACATTTAGATCTATCTAACCTAACCATAGGTAAATACACCTATGGTTAGGTAAATACCTAACCATAGGTAAATACATTTAGATGTATCTAACCTAACCATAGGTAAATACACCTATGGTTAGGTTAGATAGACATTTAGATCTATCTAACCTAACCATAGGTAAATACACCTATGGATCTAAATGTCTATCTAACCTAACCATAGGTGTATTTACCTATGGTTAGGTTAGATAGATCTAAATGTATTTACCTATGGTTAGGTTAGATAGATCTAAATGTCTATCTAACCTAACCATAGGTGTATTTACCTATGAAAAAAATACAACAATATATTCAAATTATGTATTTTTACTTTCCTATCTGTATACAGATATAAGGAAAGTATAGGAATCATGATTTTTTAGGTTCATTTGTGGCATTAACATGTACTATATAAAGTTTGTTTGCTTCACTTCGTCACAATAATCACCTGTTAAAAATTATGTAGGTGTTATCTTTATCGAACACCCAGTAAAAATAAAGCATTTCAATTCGTTTTTCAAACAAATTAGTCCAGCAAACGGAAATACACTAGCATGCTTACGCTAACTACATTCCTATAGATAAAAAGCAAACACAGGCAAAACACTATTCACTATTTTTCAATTGTGTGTAAATATCCATTTACAATTCTAAAAACAAGCCATTTAAAAGCAAGCAATACTTTTTTACCTCTTATTTTGACCAATTTGCAATGAAATTTATTTATATTTCCTATCACAAATTCTAAAAGTAGTTGTTACTCGGAACAAAATTGATTATATCAATAAAATGAAACTCGGTAGACACCTAATAAATACAACCTTTTAAATATAGTCGACTTAATTAATTTAATATATTTTATTTAAACAAAATTGAACCAATTTACATCATCCAACGTGTGTAATCATAGAACATAACCACAAAAACATAATTGACATGACAAGATTGACAAGTAACAAGTAACCAATGACATATATAGTTTATATAGAATGCTCATAATCAGAATCGGTCTGACCCAAATGATTTTAAAACTCATTTTTCATCAAATGCCGCGTTTGAAAATAAATCCACATCCGATGCATTTTTTTACATCTCGGGCATTTTTTTATTCACATCCGACACATTTACTACATCTGCGTTTATTTATCCCGGATGTACCTGTTCAGATTACAAATTTGTATGCAACCAACAATACTGTTGTTTGTATTTGGTGTTGCACATCAAAATATATTTTGTTTTACTATTTTGCCAAAAATATAACACGTTCAGAACTGTAAAGTATTAAAACTACCCAAAAAAACTTTATTTAAAGACAATTGGACGTTTATGCTTTTTGTAGTATAAAAAAATTTAACTAATTGCAAAATAATTGAAAGGCGATAAAATTTGTATGCAACCAACAATACTGTTGCTTGTATTTGGTGTTGCATATCAACACATATTTTGTCAAAAATATCACACATTCAGAACCATTGCTGTTTCTGAAGGAGAGATACAAAGAAAGATTTATTGTTGGTTCGTTTACAACCTCTAAAAACCACTGAACTATATTAATATTAAGGTCGGTGCTAAAAACCCCCATGCCTAGCCCGCCATGTACTGAGTAACAACTGTTGAGGCAACCCTTTATACCTTTCGGAGTAAAACGAGTTGCCTATCTAGTAGTCCTAATGGTACAGTTTATGGTAAGCAAAGTTTCTATATTGAGACTTGATCTTTTGAGTATTTTTTTAAAACTATTTTTGAAGATTTTGGGTAGGTAGTGAGGTAAGTTTTTAATTAGATTATTGGAATATTAACCAACATACGTTTTTTGAAATGATAAATGAAATTAAACTTGGGTTAGATTAGCTTTTATTTTTTAACCTGTAAGTTATGAAAAAGAATTTGTAATACTTTTTGTGATTATTTTTACTGTAAGAAATAAAAAATATTTTTATAATGATAAAATGTGTTTTACTATTAACTGTGATGGGTGGCTTTAAACCAGTAAGTAATATTGTAGAAAAAACAATGTAAAATGCACACCATTTTATTTTTTATTGGAAAAATTGGACTATTTGAGTTATTTTTGCTTAATAATTATGGCGAAAATAAAGATCGATATCGCAAAACAACTTTTGGTTTAATAATTTTCTAAAAAAAATCAGAATTTTGCACATTTTGTCAAATTTCTCGATTACGGGCCATTTTAGGAAAATTTTGTATAGAACAAAAATTATAGAGAATAAATAGGTGATGGGCCGCTTTGGAGCCCCCTACCATTTTACTTTATACCAATGTTTTTCGACGTTTTTTTTTGACATTTTTTGAAGTTTTTCATCATTTTTCGACGTTTTTGTTCGGTTTTAATTATTATTCAAAGAAAAAACATTTGCCCATCATGCGCAAAGGTTGAAAAACGTTAAAAACTGTTGAAAATGTCGAAAAACATTGAAAAACGTCGAAATATGTCAAAAAATGTCGAAAAAACGGCTGGTATAAGGTGGAGTGATGGAGTATGGGGGGGGGGGGGGGGCTCCTAAGTAGCCCATTACCTACTAGAATAATACAAGTAAGTTTTATTTGAACAATTTTCTTAAAAATTTGAATTTTTTAAATTTTCTAAAATTTCTCAAATACGAACCATTTTAGGAAAATTTAGTATATGACAAAAATTATAGAGAATAAATGGATGATGGGCCACTGGGGAGCCACCCACCATTTCACTTTATACCCATGTTTTTCGACGTTTTTAGCGGTTTTAATTCTATTTTAAATCTTATTCCAAGAAAAACATTCTCCGACTATGCGCAAAGGTTGAAAACCGTTGAAAAACGTCGAAAAAACGTTGAAAAATGTCGAAAAATGTCGAAAAACGTCGAAAAATGGCTGGTATTAAGTGGAGTGATGGGGAAGGGGGCTCCTAAGTGGCCCATTATATACTAGAATAATATAAGAAATAACTCTTATTTTAACAATTTTCTTTTTATTTTTTTTTTTAATTTTAATTTCTCAAATACGGACCATTTTAGGAAAATTTTATATAGGACAAAAATTATAGAGAATAAGTAAGTTTTTCAACATTTTACGACGTTTTTAGCGTTTTTGGATTTATTTTAAATCTTATTCCAAGCAAAAGAGTCTTTGATTATGAGCAAAGGTTGAAAAACGTCGGAAAACGTTGAAAAATGACGAAAATGTCGAAAACCGTTGAAAAACGTCGAAAAATATCGAAAAACGTTAGAAAATATTGAAAAATGTCGGAAAACGTCGAAAAAACATCAAAAAATGGCTGGTATCAAGTGGAGTGGCCCATTATCTACTAGAATAATACAAGAAATAACTCTTATTTGAACAATTTTCTTCTTCAAACATAAATAAGAAATATATTACATAAAATATAAAAGCGACCCCTTATAAAGTACTCCCCAGACGTTCCGACTCTGCCTTAAATCTTATCACTTCACCGCAGGCCGAAATAAAGCTTAAGTTTAAAATTTGGTGCTTTTCTCTATCCGTTTTTGAGTTTTTTTTTCAAAATTCGAAATTTACCCATTTTCTTAAATATCTCGAATACGGACCATTTTAGGAAAATTTTTTTATATAACAAAAATTATAGAGAATAATATTACAAGTAACTTTTATTTAAAGAATTTTCTTTTCCAAACGTAAATAACAGATATAATTCATAAAATATAAAAATGACCATCTATAAAGTACCCTCCCAAATGTTCCCACTCTGCCCAAAATCTAATCGGTTCACCGCAGGCCGAAATAAAGCTTAAGTTTAAAATTTGGTATTTTTCTCTTAATCCGTTTTTGAGTTTTCTTCAAAATCCAAAATTTACACATTTTCTCAAATATCTCGAATACGGTCCATTTTAGGAAATTTTTTTATATAACAAAAATTATAGAGAATAATATAAGAACTAACTTTTATTTAAAGAATTTTCTTCTCCTAACGTAAATAACAGATATATTCTATAAAATATAAAAACGACCCCCTATAAAGTACCCCCCAGATGTTCCGACTCTGCCCAAAATCAAACCAGTTCATCGTAGACCGGAATAAAGCTCAAGTTTTAAATTTGGTGTTTTTCTTTGCATCCTTTCATGAGTTTGTATACAGATAGGAAAGTAAAAATGGCCATAATTACCTACCTAACTCTGTATAATTATAAAACCAACACTTAATGATTTAAAATTCAAAGTAAATTACCTTTTTTTAAAGAAAATAAATATTTATTAACAATACAGCATATAAAATATAAAAAACAAACCTATAAATAATAAAAATGTCTCGAAAAGTTTACTGACAAGAACGAATCCTTGTCACATTTATTTACTTCAGTAATATTTTACTTAGATCCATGTTGTTTTTGGAATTCATTCATAAATTTAACTAATAATTGAACGTCAGCTAAAGACACAGCGTTATATAAACTAGCTCTGATACCACCGACAGATCTGTGACCTTTGAGTTGGTACATCTTCAGTTTTTCTGCTTCCACTAAGAAGAGCTCTTCAAGTTTTTCATCTCCACCATTAAATCCTACTCTGAATGGTACGTTCATCCTGCTTCTGCAGTTTTCGTCGATGGGACAGCTGTAGAAACCTTGAGATTGGACCATGGTGTTGTATAAGAGAGAGCTTTTCTGTAATGCTTGATTTTGCATTTCTTCCAAGCCACCATTTTTTTTAATCCATTGGAGGACCTTCTCCATTACGTACACTCTACCGAAAATTATTAAGGTTAAGAAAATTTTTAAATTACTGATAATTTACAAGGAAACATGATGCAGGTAATGAAGAAGATTGGACAATAAAGGATGGAAAATACTTACGAAAAAGTTGACGGTGTATTATGAACAGAATTTTCCTTCGCAATGTGCGTAAAATCGAATACGGATGGACAGCATTTCATGGGATTTCCCAATAGATCTTCTCTAATTATAACGACTACTACACCAGATGGTCCAATGTTCTTCTGGGCACCAGCAAAAATGACGCCAAACTGCAAATAAGAAACAATTTAAGTTCAATTTTTGAAGAGTTTATTTCAGCAATTAATAAATGTTAAAGAATAAAGGAAAGAATTTAAATATTACCTTAGAAATATCTAGTTTTTTCGTCATTATACTGGATGACATATCACTAACTAAAGGAACGCCATTAGTTTCTGGAATGTAAGGAAATTCAACACCTACAAAAAAAAATAAATATCGTTAAAATGTAATACAAACTAACCAAGCTACAAATAATGCTCACCATCCACTGTCTCATTATCACAATAATATACATAAGAAGCATTAGGATTTAGCTTCCAAGTACTTTGGTCAGGTATGCTGCCGGGTTTATTGGCTTTTGGAAATACTAGATTGACTTCACCATATTTTGCAGCTTCTTTTGCAGCTTTGGCCGACCAGGTTCCGGTTACAGCGTAATCGGCGGTACCGGTTCTGTTTAAAAGGTTCATCGCGATGGCTGCGAAAGCGCCGCATCCTCCACCTTGCATCATGATTATTTTGTAATTGCTTGGTACATTTCTAAAAATATAAAGTTATATTTTTGGAAACTGATGAATTCAAAATCAGTTTTTTGCATCCAAATGGGCCAACTAGTTCATTTTCCTACCCTAAGTCTAAAGCAGATCTACTGATAATAAAGAAAGATACTATATTAAGGAAATTACAGCCTCGTACTTTAACTAGGGAACATTTTGGAAAGAAAAATTAAAGCCAAAAAGTATTTGTAAATATTTTTTCATGATAATATCAGTATATTTCTTGTAAAATTTAGTTAGTTAAGGACAAAAATGTTCATAATTTTAACTTTTTCTTATTGTTTTTATTTTTTTTTTATACTGAATCCATGATTTCTTCATTTTGAAATTTGAAACATATTTTGTCAATGCAAAAAATCAAAAATGACTTTTTTGAAAAGACAGATGAAAATAAAATAGGTCATGTGATACATCGTTGGAAAGATGGTTGAATTACCTTTACAACGAGTCATATTTTATTGATCTACGATATGTGGTCCTCAAGATATTCTAGTTTTTGTGAAGCTGTGTTGGAAAAATATTGGTCATTTTTTCGATTTATAATAAAAAAATCTGATGTGTCCAACACAAGACTTTCCTATCTAGTTATTATAGGCTTTTTCCGGTTATTTTGTTCAACCTATTGCAGCATCTCTATAAATGTTTAGAGGATAAACTAAATATATATACATTGTCCACATACATCTACCGCGAAACATTTTTCTATAGATATTCATTGAAAATGAAAATACTGAAAAATTTAAATTTAGCACTTTTCCTACAATTTTTCCATTACGGTCCATTTAAAAAAAATCATGTATGAACAAATATTATAGAGATCGATATCACAAACAACTTTTATTTCAACAATTTTCATAAAAATCAGAATTTTGCACATTTTGTCAAATTTCTCGAATACGGACCATTTCAGGAAATTTTTACATAAGGCAAAAATTATAGATAATAATATTAGAAGTAACTTTTATTTGAACAATTTTCTTCTCCAAACATAAATAACAGATATATTCCATAAAATATATAAACGGCCTCCCATAAAGTACCCCCCCCAAATGTTCCGACTTTGTCCAAAATCTAATCATTTCACGTCAGGCCGAAATAAAACTTAAGTTTAAAATTTATTGATTTTTTCTTTATCCGTTTTTGAGTTTTCTTCAAATTTCGAAATTTACACATTTTCTCAAATATCTCGAATACGGTCCATTTTAGAGAAATTATCTATGGGACAAAAATTATAGAGAATTATATTACAAACAACTTTTGTTTGAACAATTTTTATAAAAAAAAATATTTTTTTACATTTTGTCAAATTTCTCGAATACGGACCATTTTAGGAAAATTTTGTAAATGACAAAAATTATAGATAATAAAATAAGAAGTAACTTTTATTTAAAAAATTTTCTTCCCCAAACGTAAATAACAGATATATTCCATAAAATATAAAAATGACCACCTATAAAGTACCCCCCCAGATGTTCCGACTCTGCCCAAAATCTAATCAGCTCATTAGACGCTGGAATAAAGCTTAAGTTTGAAATTTGGTGTTTTTCCGTGTATCGGTTCATGAGTTAGGCGTTATACAGACACACACACACACACACACACACACACACACACACACACACACACACACACACACACACACACACACACACACACACACACACACACACACACACACACACACACACACACACACACACACACACACACACACACACACACACACACACACACACACACACACACACACACACACACACACACACACACACACACACACACACACACACACACACACACACACACACACACACACACACACACACACACACACACACACACACACACACACACACACACACACACACACACACACACACACACACACACACACACACACACACACACACACACACACACACACACACACACACACACACACACACACACACACACACACACACACACACACACACACACACACACACACACACACACACACACACACACACACACACACACACACACACACACACACACACACACACACACACACACACACACACACACACACACACACACACACACACACACACACACACACACACACACACACACACACACACACACACACACACACACACACACACACACACACACACACACACACACACACACACACACACACACACACACACACACACACACACACACACACACACACACACACACACACACACACACACACACACACACACACACACACACACACACACACACACACACACACACACACACACACACACACACACACACACACACACACACACACACACACACACACACACACACACACACACACACACACACACACACACACACACACACACACACACACACACACACACACACACACACACACACACACACACACACACACACACACACACACACACACACACACACACACACACACACACACACACACACACACACACACACACACACACACACACACACACACACACACACACACACACACACACACACACACACACACACACACACACACACACACACACACACACACACACACACACACACACACACACACACACACACACACACACACACACACACACACACACACACACACACACACACACACACACACACACACACACACACACACACACACACACACACACACACACACACACACACACACACACACACACACACACACACACACACACACACACACACACACACACACACACACACACACACACACACACACACACACACACACACACACACACACACACACACACACACACACACACACACACACACACACACACACACACACACACACACACACACACACACACACACACACACACACACACACACACACACACACACACACACACACACACACACACACACACACACACACACACACACACACACACACACACACACACACACACACACACACACACACACACACACACACACACAGACAGACATCATCGCGAAAATAGTCAAAACGGATTCAGGGGACCTCAAAACGTAAAAATCCGTCGAAAACTCGAGGTCGAAAAAAATCATGATTCCTATACTTTCCTTATATCTGTATACAGATAGGAAAGTAAAAATCTGATGTGTCCAACACATGACTTTCCTATCTAGTTAACCTATTGCAGCATCTCTAAAAATGTTTAGAGGATAAACTAAATATATACATTTTCCACATACATCTACCTCGAAACATTTTTCTATAGATATTCATTGAAAACGAAAATACTGAAAAATTTTAATTTAGCACTTTTCCTCCAATTTTTCCATTACGGTCCATTTTAGAAAAGTCATTTAAAAACAAAAATTATAGAGATCGATATCGCAAACAACTTTTAGATTAACAATTTTCTTAAAAATCAGAATTTTGCACATTTTGTCAAATTTCTCGAATACGGACCATTTCAGGAAAATTTGACATAGAACAAAAATTATAGATAATAATATTGTAAGTAACTTTTATTTAAAGAATTTTCTTCCCCAAACGTAAATAACGAATATATTCCATAAAATATAAAAATGACCACCAATAAAGTACCCCCCCAAATGTTCCGACTCTGTCCAAAATCTAATCAGTTCACCTCAGGTCGAAATAAAACTTAAGTTTAAAATTTAATGTTTTTTCCTTTATCCGTTTTTGAGTTTTATTCAAAATTCGAAATTTACACATTTTCTCAAATATCTCGAATACGGTCCATTTTAGAGAAATTATTTATAGGATAAAAATTATAGAGAATTATATTACAAACAACTTTTATTTGAACAATTTTTATAAAAAATTATTTTTTTTACATTTTGTCAAATTTCTCGAATACGGACCATTTTAGGAAAATTTTGCATAAAACAAAAATTATAGATAATTATATAAGAAGTAACTTTTATTTGAAGAATTTTCTTCTCCAAACGTAAATAACAGATATATTCCATAAAATATAAAAATGACCACCTATAAAGTACCCCCCCAGATGTTCCGACTCTGCCCAAAATCTAATCAGCTCATTGGACGCTGAAACAAAGCTTAAGTTTAAAATTTGGTGTTTTTTTGTGTATCGGTTCATGAGTTATGCGTTATACAGACACACACACACACACAGACACACACACACACAGACAGACAGACATCATCGCGAAAATAGTCAAAACGGATTCAGGGGACCTCAAAACGTAAAAATCCGTCGAAAAACACACACACAGACAGGCAGACAGACAGAAAGACAGACAAACAGACAGACATCCCGAAAATAGTCAAAACGGATTCAGGGGACCCCAAAACGTAAAAATCCGTCGAAAACTCGAGGTCGAAAAAATCATGATTCCTATACTTTCCTTATCTGTATACAGATAGGAAAGTAATTAATAAAAAAAATTACTGATCAGAAAAAATATTTTGGATTTTTCATCTCACCAAGAACAACCAGAGACGCTATGAAATAGACGTACAAACGTTAAACAAGTATCACAACAAGAAGTACCAAGAGAACAGCTGACCAATCCTGGTGAGATTAAGGAGGCAATCATGAGATTACGCAATAAAAATGCCCCGGGACCAGATGGTATAAACGGTAAATTTTATAAAGAATGTCTAGACAGTAAAAATGTTACTTCTATTAACGAGAAATGTCACTAAGAGTGGATTAAAGTCAATCGAAGAAAAAACTTTTATTGCGTTAGGTAAATGTCTTAAATACTAGATTTACTTACAAAAGTTCTCTGATAATACTCTGTGAATCGTTGTTGATTTTTGTATATTCTTTACTTCTATGACTCATTTCAATTAAGCTCATCCCGCTGTCTTGGTACGAGAGAAATTCTCTTTGCACTTCTTCAAGAACCTGTAATACAAAAAAAAGCTATAAAATATGTCCAACATCAAATATGATGCGCACTTTATGTGTGACCCTGCATATACCTCAGTATAATACATTTCACTTCGAGTTCTTTAGAGGGTGTTACACATTAAATTTCCCTCAGTTTTTATCGGTTTAAAGAGACCTATAAAAATAAAATTAACAAAAGCACTAAAATATATTGGACCAAAACTATCAAAAGTTCGTAGATACTGGCTTTGCATCCATCATATTTTTCTTGAAGAAGATCTGTCACATTAATTAAACTTTTTGTCTGTCTCCCATATTATTATAATAATTCATTTTGCAAAGAATATCAACTAGGCTACTAATATAATAAAATCTATAAATCAGCCTTATAAATAATGTATTTAACAAATGTTTCATATTATACATATAATATGTTCACGTGAAGGCATAGCTCACGTCACCTGTTATGTTACATTATACTTCTAACTACCATAACTTTGTTAATTTTAAGAATATCAAAAAATTCAATCTAGAAAAATTTGTAAAATTTCATGCTTTACAACTTTTATCTTTTTGCTATTTTGAATAACCCTAAAAAACTGCAAACAAATTTTAAATTCAAGTTACCGAATGACCGCATATTTAATCACAAAGTTAAAAAGTTTACAGCTATTACGAAAATATATATTCAATCGCGATTTTTTTCTATACTCTTTGTTCCAAATTTGATAACAAAAGTTTATATTCTTCCTTATTATATGAAATCTCATCTGAGTTTTATCGGAGTAAACTTACAATATTTGTTAACATTGATATTAGCTATTCCTATTACTGATAATTATTGTGTAATAAGGTCAGCAAATTCATTGACCAGATAAACCAGTTTCGATTGAACTGGTTATAAGTGGTTTAATTATTTCTAATATAGATTATAATTTTTTTATCGAATAACAAAATTTATTTTATTTCTATAGTTTGAAAAAAAATTTTCAGCTAGAATAAACAAAATATAATTTCATATTTATCATTTAGAAGATATAAATATGATATTTAAATAAAGTTTTTTATCTCAAATTATAAGTGTATAACAAATTCTTGAAATCCGTCTTAGTAAATAGACAGTATCTTTAAGTAATCAGGACTATAACCTAATGTGTTACTATCTCACAAGTTATATAATAATAGTAATGATAATAATAACAACAACAACCTTTATTTAGGAGATTTATTTAAAATAATAGAATGAAACAGATTTGCCGAGTGTAAGACAGTTTGTAGAGCTGTTATAGAGGAATTTAATGATGCAAACCACTTCTTCCTAGTTGAAACGATAGTCAAGTTATAGAGAGTGTAAGTGAGAGTAAAAATTCCATTTTCTAGCCTTACGAACAAATCAGCGGTGACTTTTAAAAAACCAGTTTGTAGAGAATTTAAAGAGGAATTTAATAATATAAACCACTTCTTCCTAGTTGAAACGATAGTCAAGTTATAGAGAGTGTAAGTGAGAGTGGAGTGAGAATGAAAATCCCATTTTCTAGCCTTACGAACAACTCAGTGGCGACTTTAAAAAAACCAGTTTGTAGAGAATTTAATGAGGAATTTAATGATGCAAATCACTTTTTCCTAGTTGAAACGATAGTCAAGTTATAGAGAGTGTAAGTGAGAGTGAAAATCCCATTTTCTAGCCTTACGAACAAATCAGCGGTGACTTTTAAAAAACCAGTTTGTAGAGAATTTAATGATGCAAACCACTTCTTCCTAGTTGAAACGATAGTCAAGTTATAGAGAGTGTAAGTGAGAGAGTAAGAGTGGAGTGAGAGTGAAAATCCCATTTTCTAGCTTTACGAACAACTCAGCGGTGACCTTTAAAAAACCAGTTTGTAGAGAATTGAAAGGGGAATTTAATGATACAAACCACTTCTTCCTAGTTGAAACGATAGTCAAGTTATAGAGAGTGTAAGTGAGAGAGTGAGAGTGCAGTGATAGTGAAAATCCCATTTTCTAGCCTTACGAACAACTCAGCGGTGACTTTTAAAAAACCAGTTTGTAGAGAATTTAAAGAGAAATTTAATAATGCAAACCACTTCTTCCTAGTTGAAACGATAGTCAAGTTATAGAGAGTGTAAGTGAGAGTGGAGTGAGAGTGAAAATCCCATTTTCTAGCCTTACGAACAACTCAGTGGTGACTTTAAAAAAACCAGTTTGTAGAGAATTTAATGATGCAAATCACTTCTTCCTAGTTGAAACGATAGTCAAGTTATAGAGAGTGTAAGTGAGAGTGGAGTGATAGTGAAAATCCCATTTTCTAGCCTTACGAACAAATCAGCGGTGACTTTTAAAAAACCAGTTTGTAGAGAATTTAAAGAGAAATTTAATAATGGAAACCACTTCTTCCTAGTTGAAACGATAGTCAAGTTATAGAGAGTGTAAGTGAGAGTGGAGTGATAGTGAAAATCCCATTTTCTAGCCTTACGAACAACTCAGTGGTGACTTTAAAAAAACCAGTTTGTAGAGAATTTAATGAGGAATTTAATGATGCAAATCACTTCTTCCTAGTTGAAACGATAGTCAAGTTATAGAGAGTGTAAGTGAGAGTGGAGTGATAGTGAAAATCCCATTTTCTAGCCTTACGAACAAATCAGCGGTGACTTTTAAAAAACCAGTTTGTAGAGAATTTAAAGAGAAATTTAATAATGGAAACCACTTCTTCCTAGTTGAAACGATAGTCAAGTTATAGAGAGTGTAAGTGAGAGTGGAGTGAGAGTGAAAATCCCATTTTCTAGCCTTACGAACAACTCAGTGGTGACTTTAAAAAAACCAGTTTGTAGAGAATTTAATGAGGAATTTAATGATGCAAATCACTTCTTCCTAGTTGAAACGATAGTCAAGTTATAGAGAGTGTAAGTGAGAGTGGAGTGATAGTGAAAATCCCATTTTCTAGCCTTACGAACAAATCAGCGGTGACTTTTAAAAAACCAGTTTGTAGAGAATTTAAAGAGAAATTTAATAATGGAAACCACTTCTTCCTAGTTGAAACGATAGTCAAGTTATAGAGAGTGTAAGTGAGAGTGGAGTGATAGTGAAAATCCCATTTTCTAGCCTTACGAACAACTCAGCGGTGACTTTTAAAAAACCAGTTTGTAGAGAATTTAAAGAGAAATTTAATAATGCAAACCACTTCTTCCTAGTTGAAACGATAGTCAAGTTATAGAGAGTGTAAGTGAGAGTGGAGTGAGATTGAAAATCCCATTTTCTAGCCTTACAAACAACTCAGTGGTGACTTTAAAAAAACCAGTTTGTAGAGAATTTAATGATGCAAATCACTTCTTCCTAGTTGAAACGATAGCCAAGTTATAGAGAGTGTAAGTGAGAGTGGAGTGATAGTGAAAAATCCCATTTTCCAGCCTTACGAACAAATCAGCGGTGACTTTTAAAAAACCAGTTTGTAGAGAATTTTTGTAAACTATTTAGAGATTATCAACAACTTCAAAGAAAATGTACATGCTTTGAGAAAAAAAATTATTTGTTTTTTATCGAAAGGTAATTTTTAGCTGTAACTGTAATTCTACCATTCTCACCTGGTTTTTCGTCTTTTAAATTAATATAACTCATAAACTAATTAAGATATGATGGAGACACTTAAGATTTGTTTATTGTTTATTAATTAAAGTACAAATTAAACCCAAAATTCAAGCTCTTACCCAATTATTTATTTAATTTAGAGCAGCGGTGTATCATGTAGAAAAATAACAAATTGTTTATTAAATAAATAATAAAATTTTAAATGAAAACAATTTTTTTAGTCATCAAAGAGCAAGATAAATTATGATTTAAAAAAAAATTGTTCCTTAATCCGTTTTTAAACAATAAAAAGATTATGTTTTCAAAAAAAAAATTAAATTATTTTATAAACAACGCATTTGTTTATAATAATTTTTTAAAAATAAGAAATAGGAAATTTTAAAAATCATTTTCATATATGTCTTCTGATGATCAATAGTAATATTAATAAAAAAATGTTCAATGATTAATCACGCTTTTTAATTTTGAACTTTAATAACAAAGTGAAAAATAACAATTTTTTTAATTTTTCCAACAGGAATCTCTTCTTAGATTGTTTAAAAATTGCTTCAAAAAAAGAATAATATCACATTTTTTATTTGCAATGTTCATTTTCAAGTAAGCAAAAATTGTTAATTAACTAATGCATAATTAAAAGAAAAATAGCGATAAAAATTTTTTAACCCCGGATTATTGTTCATTCATCTATCCAGTATGTGCTTGAATTTTTTGAATTCGTAATTTTCATATTTAATAAATTTAAATAATATGTATCCACAGTTTTCGTCCGTATTTTTAATCCTCTGGAACAATTATAAATATTGGTTTTAGGACTTTTTGGTGGTAAATGTCCTCCTCTTTCTGAATCTTTTCTCAAATTTTAAAAATGTTAAATAGTTTTTGAGATATTTGCGAAAACCAAACCCTATTTTTTTTTTTTTTAATTGTTTATAACTTTTGTAATTTTTTAAAAAATCATCTATACGATATTCTGAATCGAATGACCCAAAAAGCACTATATACCACTTAATTTGTGTTTGTCCCAATGGAAAATCACTAAAAGAATTGTTTAAAAATCGTACTAACCTCTCGTGGCAATTTTGCCGGTCCAGCGCCGAAATTTAAAGCCGATTGCGAACTACCCATTATTAGTTTTTTCTTTCTAAATTCACTAAACAAAAATTTTATATTTGTAAAACACTAAAAGCGAATATGAATTCGCTTTCTAAACTAACTTCGTCCACCGCTACCCAATGCTCTTTTAAACAACTGATTTGTTTACTGTTTACATTTATTTATATGGTAAAGAGAGGGAATTCTCGCTAAGGCAAGTCAGCGGTGTTGCCGTTAAATACTAAATGTCTTACTAAATTGATTTTTCTTGATTAAAACCATTTTATTCATAAGTGATTTCCTTTTACCTTATATTAAGTTCAAGTCTAGTTATTGACGATCTAAGATAAATGTAATGTAAAATGTCAGATGTCTAAAGAAACGAAGCATATAAAAAATTGGAAATCATTTATGGAAACTTATCCTATTTTTTATTGTTCTATCTGAAACTGAAAGACCTCCCACATTTTTCCGGACACCCTGTATGTTTATGCATTGGTAGCCTATCTGTACATATAATTTAAGGTTTTATCAACTATAGTCTATTTTTATGTATGAGAGAGTAATAAAACAGCATTTCTAATGCAAAACTTAGTACGGTCATTTTAAATATTTTTACAGAATAATCTAAATAATTCCTAAAATTGTAATAAATGTACCTGAACTATTACAAGTTTTGGGTCTTTTATTGGTCCTTTATAAACATAAGCTGTACAGAACAATAGAAAAAGGTTTGGACGGGCCAAAAGCCCTGTGTATTATAGATTATATAGCCGTATCTTAAGATTATTTTCAATAAGTACCTATTTGCAAATTTTGTTTTATTTTAATTCCAAGAATTTCTTACAGTAATCAAATTATAAGTAGATAAATACCTTCCCAACAAATTTCACCGAAAATGCGATTATAGGTTTTCCATTTAGTAAGGAGGTCCAAGTTGTGTATTCTTGACAGTTTACTAAATGTCGTTTAGTTGCAACTTGCAAGGTGCAGTGTGAATTCTAGTGTGATCATGGAAAATTTGGAAGGGCCGCGTAAACGACAAAAAATCGGTCCTTTAACAGTTAATGAAAAAACATTAATATTTAATTGTTTTAAATCATTTACAGACAAATATTTATGTAAAAGTGTTGATGACACAGTAGAATTAGTTAGTAGTACGCTTAGTATTGGGAAATCTACGATTTACAGAGTTGTTAAAGTAGAGAAATGTGGCGAGTTTCAAACAACACGTAAAGCTCCAGTAAAACCAAAATTTCAATTAGAAAATCTTTTGAAAGAAAGACTTCGAAGGAAAGTGCATGCGTTCTTCTTTAGAAAAGAATTTCCAACAGTAGACAAAGTTCTTGCCACGGTTCGAGATGATAAGGATTACCCTGAAATGAGTCGAAACACACTATGGAAACTTTTAAAAGAAATAGGTTTTCTATGGAAAAAGCATTCCAGAAAGTTTATTTTAATAGAAAGAAGCGATATTGTAGTATGGAGAAGAAATTACCTAAGGACTATAAAAGAAATGAGAAACCAAAGAAGAAATATATTTTATTTAGATGAAACATGGATCAACAAGGGACATAAACCAAATAAATTTTGGCAAGATGAAACTGTTACAAGTCGAAGACAGGCTTTTTTAAATAATTTATCTACTGGTTTAAATCCACCATCAGGAAAGGGGCGCAGACTAATAATAGTACACATCGGTAGTTGAAACGGTTTTGTTAAAGGTGGTTTATTGATTTTTGAATCTACTCGTACCGGTGACTACTATGAGGACATGAATCCTGATGTCTTTAAAGAGAGGTTCGAACAAATTATAGATCTTCTTCCTCAGAACTGTATAAATAGTAATGGATAATGCAAGTTATCACCACAACCAAGTGGTTAAAAAAAGATTTACAGAATTGGCTAAATTCAAAGAATATTAAATTCCATCCCGGTTCTGTGAGAAAAGAACTGTATCATTTGTGTTCCCTTCATAAAGAGAAATTCAAAAAATATGAAATTGATGAAATTGCAAAAAATCGTGGGATGATGGAGGTTAGATCACCACCATAACCATATCATTGCGAAGTAAACCCGATTGAACTGATATGGGCACAGATAAAGGGAGAAGTTTCAAGAAAAAGTAATTCTTTTAAAATGAGTTATGTTAAACAGTTGTTTTTGGAGGCTGTAAATAATGTGAAGCCTGAAAACTGTGAAAAGGCAGTAAATCATACGATTAAAGAAGAAGAGAAAATGTGGAAGTTGGACAATATTACTAGGGCTCGGAATTTTTCAGATTTTTGTATTCGAATATTCGTTTCAAACTTTATTCGAATACCCAAATTATTCACTATTCGAATATTTCTAAGTATTCGAATATTCGAGTATTCGACTATTCGAATTTCGAGTATTTGACTATTCGAATTTCGAGTATTCGTCTATTCGTACATTCGAGTATTCGAATACTCGACTATTCGAATATACGAGTATTCGATTATTTGATTAACGTATAATTCATACCTGTTTGTTTTGGTATGATGCTTGGTTCTTAATTGATTACACAAATTACTGGTATTACTTCTGTCTATGACATTGTAAGTACATAATTTACACTACACACGATTTTTTTTTTAACGAAGTAAAGCCATATCTTACTGCGTTCTAAACTCATATTTAACATCTGTATCGGGCAAGCGTTAACTGACACATACACTCACTAATATGAATAAAATAACTAGTAAGTTATAACTTAACAAACATAAACAAACGTGTGAAAAGTGCGAATGTGAAACACCGTTGGGGTTCCCCTCATTTACCAAATAAAACGCCAGCAATAAATACATTGTTGCCGTAATGTATTAGTCCCGAATCCCAAGTCAGAATTTTGTTAGTCATTTTTCTTTTATCTTTATTTTTAAGCAACATATAAAAAAGAAACATTTAAATTAGGTATATAAATTAATTCAAAATATATATCCGAATATTTGAACATTTACAGTATTCCGAATAGTCAAATATTCGAGTATCGAATACCTAATTCAATTAGTCGAATATTCGAATATCGAGTATTCGAATATTCAACTATTCGAATATTTGACTATTCGAATATTCGACTATTCGAAAATTCGACTATTCGAATATTCGACTATTCGACTATTCGACTATTCGACTATTCGACTATTCGACTATTCGACTATTCGACTATTCGACTATTCGACTATTCGACTATTCGACTATTCGAATATTCGACTATTCGAATATTTGACTATTCGAATAATTTCGATCTAAAAATATCGAATTTTGAATATTCGAATTATCGAATTAACCGAATACAATTCCGAGCCCTAAATATTACTGATGAAATGAT